GGACATGGACCGGTACCATACGTCACACAAAAATGATCCTGAATGGAACTACTTGTGTACACACTGTATTTGTCTGCATGTGGTCTGACCATCTCACTTCCTTCATGTGTGTAGATCAAATTCAAATGCAGTCTTGGAGCTTTGTGATTTGTCACAGAAACACTTGAAGTTGAAGGGGAGGAATAATTGTCCCATACATGTACTGTGCACACGTGTGACAAGGTACCGGTACAGTGTATGGTCTACACTCTACAAATTGTGTAAACATCTGCTTGGTAACATACTGGTAGATGTGTACCAGTACACTGTATGTCCGTACATGTACATTATGCTGGTACTTTACACACACTCTGGACCCCATTTAATGGCATGGAACACAATGTTCGTTTGACTGAATTGGTTGGAAAGATTCGTTACTATTTCACATTTCCAAACAAAGACAATCATGCCCACTTTTTGTTCTTGAACTGACCACCTGTAGTGGCAGATCCTACGTGTACGAGCAGTTCCCTGACTAAGTTGGGAGTCACACCTGACCAGCTCCAACATACATGTATAAACTTCAAAGATTTAGAAATTCTTGGAAGAGGTGAGTCACAGAGCTTGGAAACAGTACATGTATATTGTACATGTATGTGGCGCATCACAGAGGAAACTGGTCTTTTCCTTGTCTGCGAAATTTGACTACAGAGTTTAGTCTCTGAGGAAGATTTGAGTCATCACAACTAAAATCTCCACATACATGTACGAGTACATGTATACAAGTCGGCCCTACCAGTATCACTTCTAAACCATGGAATAGGTTCAAAGCTACAAAAGAAACCTTTTGCTAACTGCAGAGCAGGTCGATGACATTAACTTCTCAGATACCATACAATAAGGATGTCAATGGAAAGTGCAATGACATCTGTATGATCTTCCTGGAAGAGTGACCACAATTGACCATATGACCATGACCCACAGTTGACCAGAGTGTCCTAGTTTCACATTCCCAGGGTCCAGTCCCCTCCCACTCAGCAACAAGGCACCTGTCAGAAACTGTTCATCAGCTTCCTAAACCCTCAAATCTCTTGGACATAAGCCTAGCTTCATTAGCTCAGTCACGAGATCCGTCCACCCATGATACGGTAGCAGGACTACCGTACATGTAGAAATGAAATCGAGAGTGAGGGGAGGGAGGCAGAAAAGCAAATAATAGGTTGTTTCCTCTGAACTGGGCTCAATTTCAAACTTTCCTGAAGTGGAACAGCACTACATAATGCTATCACACCGCCAAATGTAATACTTTTGTCAATCTCCTTCTAATATCCAAACTTCAGCATTTACTAATCTCGATGCATAATCTGGATTTCCTGTTCCCAGAGGTGTAGCATGTCACTGATCACCCCTGCCACACATACATGTACATGTATCAATGAGTGCATCAAATACTTCTCACACAACTTTGTAGACAGTGAGATAATACGTGTACATGTACACGTTCACATGTAGACCCATTGATACACTACCCAGCACTCGTATCAAACAATGATTCTCTCTTTATTCAGTATTATAACCGTGACACAATTTCAAATTCCATAGTTTCTGCACTGTACATGTATGTTGCTCTTACCAGATACATGCATACATGTACTGTACATGTACATGAAATGAATCTGTGACCATGGTAAAACTATCATTGGACAATGGCTACGGCTTCCTGCCAGCAAAGTGAGAACTACTGTGCAGAGCCACTGTCCAGTCACAGTCGCAATGCTTTCTGCCATTAAAGAGGGCTGTGGAGAATGTCCTGTGAAACCACACTGGATTTACATGTATCTGTATGAATAGCGGTACATGTAGACTCTTGTTTGTATAAATTCATTCCCCTGAGTTTAGACCTTTCGACTCAATGTATATGTAGCTTCAGTGACTGTGACAGACACATCCAGTGGTATAGTAAGAAGCTACTAGATTAGAAGAATTGTTGAATAGTAGATATTCAAAACTAATTATGTAGCACAGATGAAACAAAAAACAGAGACACAGCCAGGATTTGGAAAAACCCTGCAATGAAGGCTCAAGCAAAGTGGAAGTAGCCAAAATTGACAGTACAATTGTCATTTTTAACCTCTACAAGGACACATCAAGACACATGACTAAAACCTTCAATAGCCAATCATCACCTCTCATGCCACTGTTCTCCTCCAGGAAGCTGTTCCTCTTCGGGGGCCCCGGCTGACCACTGCCGCCCCCATGGCTCCACAATCCGCCGTCCTCCCCGTGGGCCTCAGTGCTGCTCCCTGAGGAGGCCGTACTGCTCTGCGGCGAGAGCGGGGCATGGTCAATGGGCAGCGACAGCGATCGGCTAGTCCGAGGCTCCAGCTCCTCCTCTGAGGGCCAGTCAGTGAGTGGCTGGGGGGAGGGTGTGTTGCTGCAGGAGTTGGGCGGGGTCAGGGAATGGCTACGGCTCTTCCGCTGGTGCACTGGTAATGACGGGCCAGCTAAGGAACCTGAGTGGGCAGAAACAATCAAATCTAAATATATTATAAACACATCAGGCCAATAAGTGATTTCTTACATACAGTAAATGAAAGTCTGAAACTTGACAGTTGTCTGGTTAGCCAAGAATCCTACTATAAACTGCTGCATACAATGTACGGAAAGGTACTACAAACGTCTATTTTCTACATGTACATGTAACGGCACGGTACATGTACATTTACATGTACCAGTTAAATACTGTACATGTACAATTGTACAAGTACATTATACATGTGTGTTGCTTTAATCGGCAACTTGTAATTATCAGAAGTAAAACATGCAAACTGTAATGTAATACTAAGGAGCATTCATAACTACCTCTGACAGTTTCCCTATTCAACAATGCGCAAAATGACCGTGTATTGAAGGGTTACAGAAATAGAAAACATTTAGTTCGCGTGAAATATTTCTAAGTAACAATAAATACATGTATGTAACCATTTCAAAAAATCATAAATTTAATGTTTACCCCATTAATTGTGACCACAAAATGAATAAAAGATCCTGCGTTTCCCCTGCCACAAAAATCCCCTTTTGGCTGTTCGCGCTCCCAGGCTGAGTGGATGACGTCATCGCCAGAACAACACATGTACATGTACACTGTACGGTGTATGTACATAGCGCACAGTAGATGCAGCAAAGACCACGTTGTGTTTGATGTACTTGTACACTTGGCCCACAGGTAAACACTATCTCAGTTAAAGGTAGAAAATTACAAGACACAGCCCTACCGTGTATTTCTTGAACTGAAACAGTGTTTGCCCTGTTGGCCAAGCTACATGTACATGTACATCAAACACAACATGGTCTATTGCATGCGATACAGCATGTACAGTGCGCTATGTACATGAACACTGTACATGCATCGTTCTCGCAATGATGTAATCCAATCAGCATGGGAGCGCGAACGGCCAAAAGGGGTTTTTTTGTAGGCGAGGAATTGTTTGAGGATTGTTTTGTTCATTTTACGGTCACAATTAATGGGGGACTAGTAAACATTACACGTAAATTTATGAAGATTTTGGAATAGTTATGTCTTTATCGTTATTTTGAAATATTTCATGTGAACTGAATGTTTTCTATTTCTGTAACTCTTTAACATTTGATAACGCCCAATGCCATCTGATAATGTCTGGTGCTTAAAAACAAGCTAGCACCTGGGTATGTGACAATTTAAGCCATTCCTACATGTATTGGTCAAGAGTCCGTGTGTGCCAGGGCACGCAGAACTCACCAAGTCCATATTAAGAGATTCTTTTGGACTACCGGTACTTGCACAAGGAATATACCAAAAAATGGAAGGGGGTTTTGGGAAAATGAAAGTAAAATTCTTGGAACAAAATCATTGGAAAAGTATTGTATATAGACTTCTTTTGTTGCTCTGACTAAATCAATATTTATGAATGGGAATAAACATGTGCTTAGTTGGTCTTAAACGGTAGATCAGCTCAGGCATGTCAGGAGAATGAATGCTGACAATGCCCTTGCCATTCTCCTGAGCTGGTCTTCAACACACCTTTAAGACCAACCAAGCACACATTTACTCCCTTAGTAGAAAAGGATGCAAACAAAAATCCCCTCATTTATATTGTTACTTATTCAAACATCCACCACACTGGTCATACTTACTTGAGAAGTACTTACTTGCTACATCATTAGATGGCCCAGTGACATTCACAGCTGGTGGTGCTGAGAGGGTATTGGTCAGTGGCTGATGGGGCACGGAACTGCCTAGAAAATGTGATGCAGTGGGGGGAAAATCCACTGCCCCAGAGTCTCTGAAGGTTGGCTGTGCCCGCCAGCCATTCAGGCCGCCCTGCAGGCCATTTCGTCCAGTCTCTGATGAGTTCAAAATGCCGCCAGGGAACGGGGATGGCGACGGGGACGGCGACTGTGATGGGGAGAGATCCGGCGAGACCTGGAGGCGGGAGGGGAAGCCAGCTTGGCTGTTGGTGTGCTCCTCTAACCGGCCCAGCCACCAGGCCAGTGAGCTCCGGTCCTCGTTGGACAACGCCGGATGGATGAGGAGATAAGACAGCACCTGCCGACTCTCCTCCAGGTGCTGGGAGTTCTCGACCGAGTGGAGGAGGATCTTAGGGATGAGGCTGAGGTACTCTTTTTTGACATCGTTGTTGCCAGGGCGGAGCAGGGGGAGATGGGACAAGAGTTGGGCTACGGCTATTTCTTTACTCTCATTGCACAGACTGCAAACAAAACCTGAAAGCAACAAAGAAAAAAGGGATATCATGTCTGTACATGGACCAAACGAAGCAGTATCATGCCCTCAGTTCAGTTAATGTAGAGTTCAAGTTACCAGTGTAATGGCTTGACTGACCATTGTGTGATAAGCATTCTGCTCTTTCAAAGTGCAACACACCCACCACAAGGGCAAAGTGTTTGCTGCATAACGGTACATGTACTGTACATGTACATGTATGTTCTAGTACACACATGTACGTACATGTACATGTAGCTCATGTCAAGAGCCTCCATTAAACCTTAAGCTTATTGTTGCATACAATATGGTACAACTTTTCTGTTATAAAGTTAAGTGGTCACTTAATGACGTGTTCAGGTACAACACGGATCATTTACCCAGGGATGTGCAACCGCGAGGGGCCCCAATGCAAACTCATGTGCAACCTTGGTTCCAATGCATGTTACGGATTATTATTATTATTACCCCCGCAGGCGCTCTCGACTTTCTCGAAAAAACCTGCGACCACATGACACGCGTTGCAGCATGTACATGTACAGTGCAGCCGTGGTTATGCCAAGACGACGCGCCAACTTGGTGCTTAAATCTATTCGTTTTGACGAATAAATCTTCTTCACTTATCGATTTCAAGGACAAACAGAGTTTTAATGAGGCAAAATTCCCCAATTTTGTGGTACACTTTTCTCAGAATGTATAGGATGAAATATCTTGAGCAGCATATTTTTAGAAAGGGTGTACCCCGACTTAAAATATTACAAGAAAACAAAGTGGTAGACAGGAATATATGTTTTATTATTAGAGAAAGTTTTACATGTACATAATCCAATTTAATTTCTGCTTTGGTATTGTGCCAGCCGTAACACGCACTGAACCAGCTCTGAGCTTAAGTTGCACATCCCTGGGTAAATGGTCCGTGGGTACACGTACGGTAGATGGCACACGCAGCAGTCTTACATGTACTCCAATATTGCTTGTTCCCTACAGGTACAATTGTACATGTATGTGTACCAGTAAGTACATGTACATGTATGGCATTTATAAGCAAGCTTGTATTTTTGATCCTGATTGGTCAACCAATGGCAACATGGGTGGGATATTAAACATACATGTACCATAGTTCATACCACACTCTATAGTACAATATTATTATTACTGTGGCGCCGGGGGGGCTGGCCGGTCGGGTGGGGGCACCAGTCTGACTTCACGGTGGTGCGGCTGGCGCCCTTGCTGGACCGACCGGGAGACCCCGCCGCGCCAGCACTACGGGGCTTCTTTTGGCGGCCTCGAGAGTTTGGTTTTTGTTGTGAGTATTCGGGCGGGCGAGTTTTGACTGTGTTGCCGAAATAAACGGGTTTTGCCCTCATAAACAGAAGTTCTGAGCCCAATGTGCTTTCTTGCCTACGTGTGGAACCCGTAGACCGTCGGAGTGTTACATTATTATTATTATCTATTTCTGGTAATAACACCAAGGATTCCTAAAAAGCGCCCAAGGCACTGAAGCTCGCAAGCCTGAAGAAACCTGTAGAGAGCCGACAATGAAAAGTACATGTACATGTACATGTAGTTACAGTTTTAGAGGTGGGAGGAAAACCCAAGAGGAATATTCTGGGTAAAACCCACGGAATCAGGTACCGCTACATGTAGGGACTGGTTTCTCTGTTACACACGAAATGAGTCATAAAGCTCTCTCAACTAAAAACTTCAAAACAATGTTTCTGGTAAAGGTGCACATGCTAAATGGCATGCATACATGTACCGGTACCTACACTGTGTGAGCTCCGCCATTCATTTGCTATTTAAGCAACTTTGTGTTTTAAACCAAAGAAAGTTTGCAAAACAACTCACAAAATAGCCAAAAAGTGAATTTTCGGGGAAAATGTTTGTCCATTTTTATGTTACTTGAAACTCTACCTGAAAAAACAACTTGTGATGAGAAAACACGGTTTGCCCGTGTAAACAAAACAAAGTTGGCCACAGTTGAAAAAAACCTTTACTAACAAAAAAGTGGCTTGGATAGAACCATCATATTTGGTTTCTGTGTTTCACATCAAATAATTTGCTGCACCATTGCAAATTGCACAAATTGAGTCTGTACATGTACATGTCAAACACAAGTACATGTAGTAGTACATGTACATTTACTGCATGAATGTAGGTGTACATGTATTATCAATTACATGTACATATCAACAAGCTTTGAATTTGTTTAGACAATTTTGAAATTTTGACCACCATGTCACACATTTGGCCCCCTACTTAAAAGAAAGACCCATGTATTGGTACATGTACCGGTACCTACATGTACGGGTACATGTACATGGGTACATGTACATACATGTAGGTACATGTACATGGGTACATGTACATGGGTACATGTACATGGGTACATGTACATGGGTACACGCGTACATGGGTACATGTACATGGGTACATGTAATGTGGTTTTCAGAACACTGACAACCTTCCTAGTGCACTACTGGTACATGTACATGTACATGTATATATGTACATGTAAATACCGGAACATGTACACTGTACATTTATTCTTTCTATAAAGTTTTCGTCCAGTCAATAAAGTTTGTAGAAATTAAGAATTAAGATGGCTCTTTGGGTGACCTGTACAGTTCGGTACATGTGTAACGGTACACTGCACCATTACCGGTACTATGCACTTACATGTAGCACTATTTCTGTCCATTACAGTCTACAATCAATGAATCATATCAAACATTTCTTTCCTCTTCTTTCTCAGTAACCGTTTGGCATCCTTCTTTTCATATGTCCTATTTCCTTGTGAACCCTACAGTTGATTCAGTCACAGAAAACTAGTGCACTGGAAGCAGTCATGTGTGAAGGATTCAATGACCAAGACCGTTAATAATGATACTGAGACCAGTGAACACCAACAAGAGAGTCTGTGATACATGTGTGTATACATATACTTCTGTTGGTACACAACGCCCACAGTGAGGAGAATGTTAAGGCTGTAACCTTCACCTGATACTGTAAATATGGGACAAAATTAAATCTGGATTTATAGTCCCACAAGAAATGTATTTAATACACTTAATACACTAATTTATAAATCCAATAATATTTTTATCATACCAAAATGTGTCATGGAAATAAGGATGGATTAAATAATCTGTATTGACTGTTGTAAATGAGGTTTGATTTTGTTCCTATTGTGTTTGATGTTGTTATGCCTTCTAAATGTACATGTACAGCATGTTCAGTTGAATACCTGAAAGATCATCTTTTTGTTAAGTTGTCTTAGTTTATGGTAATGTTCGTGATGTGGTGTCCTGAGTTGTTACAAGCATGCATGCTGATGCTGCCAACAGTTTTACAAGTATTATTATTATTGAATAAAATTTATATAGCGCTCATTCCAAAAAATGTTCAAGAGCGCATTACAATATAAAAAAATTAACAATCTACAAGGATATATAGAATAAAATAGACCAAACAAAATTACAACTGCCAAAAATGTTTTTAAAGTAATAACACTGGTTAACCTTGGGAACAAGGATGGGGTCACGCCCTTTGTCGTGTCTTCATGTTGGTACAGCTGTTACGAGCGTGACTCGAAATTTACGGTTCGTAATCCAAGGAAATCTGAGTCAATCCCTTGCCATTGCACGATATTTCT